GGATTTAAGAGAGCTTGGCTTTCGTTATGGGTAGAAAAAGGGACACAAAAACAAACCAAAATGCAAAGAGGCTTATTGTCGTCGTGATGAAAGAACAAATATTTTAGAAAAAAAATTGACAACGAACTTTTAATGAACCACACGTCTGGTACCCAATGAGTTCTTGTTTTATTGGCGTAAAACTAATTTAAATATTTGACTTAAAGACTTAGTCTATTTCATGACATAATAATTAGTGTAAAGGGCCTCGCAATTTATCAGTGGCACCATCAAATGTCATCTGCTCCTAGGTCTCGTCTCATCGGATTTTCTTCACTGTCGCACCTCAGCGCTCTGGCTGCCTGACAGATGCTTCTCTTGTAACGAAACACCTGAACACAGACATAAACACGCTATTAAACACAACTAATTGCACTAGTGGAGTCATAAAGTCAAAGAAATAATTAAAAGTCAAATGCCGCCCCTAAATTGTTTCAAATCAGCCTAAATTACTGAAACTTTTAGATCGGCTGAGATGACGAGAAAATCTAAATGCTAATTAATACTTGAACTATTTCGCCATTTTTTTTGTTCTTTTTTTTTTATGCATTTTACTCCAACAACAGCATTACACGTAAGTGAAAGTAGGTGACTAAAAATCCGTTTCAGAGAAATAAACCTCCTAATCATTCAAAAAGACTTCCAACATTTAAACACATTTTAAAGGCAAGTTTCTAATAAGGTTTCTTTTACCAATTTCTTGTAATTTATAATTTCGAAGGTTGTTTAAATCGCTAAGCATTTATCTCCTTCATTTATTTTTTCTTTTTGACCTGGACAGACACCGAGATGTTCTCCATCCTGCACTTTGGCACGTTTTACGAATCTTTTTATAATGATAATGTCCTAAGTTTCCAATTTATTCTCGTTGCAAAAGATTGTTTCCCCATCATAATACAGAAATTAAACACCAAAAAGTTATCAAAACAATACCAAGTTCAGTTTTTAAAGACCTCAGCCCGTGATAACTTTCAACTGAAGATTTTCACAGTCAAACATGCGGATCTTAATTCCTACTATAGGTATGGCTAAGAAACTTGACTCCTTAATTTCTTTTCATTTTTACTAAAGTAAATTTATTACTTTTACCTGTGATCTCTTTCCGGGTATTGGAGCAATAGCTTCAGTATCTCGAGGGCAAGTCAACAGCATTACTGAAACAGCGATGTAAACGCAAACCAAAACGAGTGATAGTCTATACATTACTGCGAAAAATGAACGGACGAACGGACTGACGAAATCGGATGAACCCTGAGAGCGTGCCTCAATGAATGAAATATAACATAAAACACGACATAATTTATAACTATTACTAATTGTTATAACCGCCTGATGGTCTGCTCTAATTAAGTAATGTGACAGGTATGTCTTTCTAATGAAAAACAATCTTCAATTTTTTGATGGTTGTTTAGGCAGCATGTTCCGCAGGCTAATGCGTTTTGCTAAATAATTAATGACGAAATGTCTTTTTTCAACTCTAAACTTTGAAAATGATCGTAATGATTAACAATAATAGCTATACGTATGTGGTGCGGAAGAGTAACAGGGAGATTTTCCAAAGGACAAAAAGTCGAAAAAAGATTAGAAAAATGATCGTGTCTATCCTTGTTAAACATTGCTGTAAACAAAACATATACACATCGTATATTTACAAATCAACTGTGTCAATATAGAGCACACGAAAACTCGAGGGCTAAAAATACCGAGGATAGAATTCAACATGCCAAATAAAATACTTTTTAAATATCTACTGTATGAGGAGAAGTTCCGTTATGGAAGAGATAGCCGCAAGAATATTTTAAAAAATATTTCGTGCAGTTTTCTTAATTTGATGATATTACAATCAGCGCCGGTTCTCTGGTGACAATATCCTCCCGGTGAAGAGTTCCTCTTGGATCCTAAGCGTCGGTGATTATTTTCAGTCAAGTAAGTAGTGTTGAATCTACACCCTTCGACGAGGTCATGGCTCGAAATGTTGTTAATTTTCTTTTCTTTTTTCGTTTTAATTTTTTATTGGCTAGATTATTCGCAGTTTAGTAAAATTCAACTAGTTATTTTAGGAATCAAGGTTTTTTTTTTTTCGGTAAGTCTACTCATCTATAAATGATTACCGTGGCTTGGTTATTCTCACAAAAATTAAGATTAAAATTAAAAAAAAAAGCAATGGCATATGACATCATCGTATGAGTTCCTAACAGGTGAAAGGACAGTTTGAACGCAAAGAGACTTCCTTCGCGTTACTCTTTTCTTCGCTTTCAGTTATGAAGGACAATAGAAAACACAAGGATCCTCGCTAAAATTTGCCTCGCTCCCAACCTGCGGCTTCGTAGCTCGGTCGGTAGTAGCGCTTAACTAGTGTCTGGGAGGCACAGGTTTGAAACCCGTCGAAGCCTTAAATATTTTTATTCAGGCTTCTTTCCTGTACTGGCTAAAATTGCAGCACACCTGCTACAATTTTTTTTCAGAAAAGGGACATTTGCCTCTAGTAGCTAGTGGGAAAGGGCTTTGTGAAGTTTTATTCCACTGGTTAGAATGAGTCGATTTCTTGGATGGCGAATCTGTGGATGCAAAAACCCTCTTGGACTTTCGTCATTATAAAGTTTTCATTTTTTTAGGAAATAAAATAAACCATCATTTGAGCTAGCCTAACATGTAAGTGAAAAGTAATAATGATAAAGTACTGCGATAAGGTGTTTCAAAAGCGTTGTTTCTGCGAGTTTAATTACAACAGCGCTATGGCAAGTTAACAATCAATAATACTTCAAAATTAGCGTGCATTATGTAGAATGGCGCCATTACAATAAAAAAGTCAAACGTAAAATGATAACATTTGGGCCAAATTCAAACAGAGTAGACAACTTAAAACAAAAATTGCGTTCCCACTTCCTTTGATGTCGTTGACAGTTTTTAACTGACTTCAAGAGCATTTGATGGGTGATTTAACCCTGAGTGTAAAATTTTGAACAGAATCATGGTTCCTGATAGACACTTTTTTGTTTTGTAAGTGTAAATGACGCGACATTGATATGTTCTAAAACTGCTTAGTCTGTTAAAGCGTCTTGAGACAGGTACCAACGTAAACGATAATAGGTCAATAAAGTCAAGACAAATTCTGGCTCTATCACTTTTACGTACACTGGCAGACCCTGCCATTGATCGACGAGGTAAAAACACGATCTGTCACTTCAGTCAGTAAAGAAGGAGTTCCAAAAGAAGCAGAAACGGTAACATTATTGATAACAACAGCTATTTCAGTAAAATATTTAGATTGTTTCATCGCAAGGAAATACTCTATTAAAAAGTAAAGTAGAATTTGAATTTATTGTCATGTTTTTTGTTTTTTTCTGTTGTTGTTTTTTTTTATGTGAGACGTGGAAAGCTGAGAGGAGACTTGGAAAGTTGGAAAGGAGAGGTGAACAGGCTGATAGAATTAAAAAGACTTCATGACTTCATCGTCCATCGCTTCAGTCAGAAGAGTAATGCCCCTTGAAAATCCATTGAATCATCATACGAAAGAACCAAACAGTTTCAATCACTTTTTGAAATTAGTTCTGCGGTGGAAGAGCAGTAATGCGAGCCGGCATTTAACCGGGCACGCACTTGTGATCTTCCAGCTTTCGCCGCTACTGAAATACTTTCAAGTTGATATTGATAACACTGTAAATAGTTTTTCAGTAAAAAAAAAAAAATAAACTGATTGTTTTCTATTTAGCTCTTAAATGTATTTTGTTTTGTTTAACCGCAGGAAGGAACATGATTGCTTCACTTCATAGGGTTGCTTTTAGATTGAAAAAAAAAAACGAAACAAAACAAAATTGCCAAAGAAGTTTTGTGAAGAAATATACTTGACAGAAGACGGATGACTCGATTACATTGAGATTTTGTATATTCATTTATTTCATGAGCCCCGGCGAAAGAAATGGGCGAATAAAAGTGAGTTTCATTTTTTGGCAGGAATATTCTGCTATGGCTGTTTTTATCCGTTCTCTTTAAAACGGGCCGATTTTCCGTTACACTGTTCGGAACACGCACGCCGCCGATCAGCGTTGCATTACGACATGAGTCAGCGATATAGTAACTAACAGTAGCATGATATCACAGGCCAATACAATTTTAAGCGAGACCAGTATCTTTCCCTTCAAGTGAAATCCGCATTAAATTGTCTCTCGTCTGAGCGACTCCAACTAACTCATAACCATAAAAAAAAAACCTATAACATCTCTCTTAGGATAATTTCTTTTTTTTTTTTTATCTCATAAAAATGTTAGGTTATCCTGAGTATTGATTATCGTTTGCGTTTCTGAAATTTAAAAATGAATGAAAAAGAAATTGGACCGATGAAAGCGGCTAATATTGATAAAGTGAATACACGTGAATGCCAATTAACATCAAATATATCGCATAGCAAATTTTTTGTTTTCAGCTGTTGGCCCAACACAATCATAGAAGAGGCTGAGTAATCCTTATCAACATTTTTTTTTTCCTTCTTTTTTTTGAAGGAAAATGTTAATTTTAGTAATCGCTTCCGTTTCATTTTGATTGTAGACATATTGAAATTGAAATGTTGTTAATAATTGATAATCGCTGTCAGAAACGTATGGAAATTTAACCGAAAGTCTATCTATGACTTCCCGTACACCTATTGATTTAAATACAAAATGCGTCAAAGGTTCAATCTTTTGACGTATTGTTTACAAAATGGGCAAAATTACGGTAAAAGCATCGGACATTTAACCATATAGCAAATGCGTGGACAAATGGGGAATCGCTGACAGAAATCTGTATTTCCGTTGATAATCACCCTGCAAAAGAGATCGGAAAACATATTTAAGTTGTTCTGCTCAATGGATCCGTTTCGGCTTTGATTCCATTTTTTAAATCTAGCCAATCGGAGGACAGAGCATGACAGTTTATAGCTGGAATACAATTTACGAGTTTGGCCAGCATGCGCACATACGTAACACTACAAAAATACTGTTGTTTCTGAATATATTACACACCGCCAGCGATGTGAAGCGCAAGCCATCTTAATATTGTAATATTCACCCGTGTCAATGCCATTCGCTCAGCCTTAATCAGATGCTCTCTTCACTAAACCTGTTAAGTTAATATTTACAATTGAAGTGTCGAAATATTTTCGAGAAATGAACGACAATGGAGAGAGAAAACGAGTTGCCTTTGTCTCCTCCGGTAATTATCACTCCAGATATGTCGAGCTATCCGACGAAATTTCGCGAAAAGAAGATACAATCAAGGACTTCATTGGCAACTGATAGATTTTCTTGCATTTCGTTTCTAACAACGAGCCAAAGAAGTGATCATACTGTATGGATACCAAGATGGCGGAGTCTTCCATGCGACCTCGAAAAAGAAATCTGGTACGATGATTGCCCAGAGTTTTTAAAAGCCTGGTCGAGATATCGAATCACTAATATGGCTCGCCGGTACAAAACAATGGATTATATTCACATGGTTCTCGCTGATACAAGCGCAGATCTTTATTCCGAATTGGACGGTTGCTGTGATCTATCAACTGCAGTCGGTATATCAGTAAGTAGGGATTTATTGAACTGTTCTGCGGATTTTTCGGAAAATGGATCTGGAATTGTCCCACGAAGTGCATCAGATGAAAATATACAATATTGTGACCGCGAAGGGGACAGGCAGTGGCATCTGACTCAGATGAATTTGAATTATGCCCTCGCTTCATCGCGAACGTGTTCGACTGAAGAACTCAACAAGGACCAGAGGAATATTCATAGAATTGAAAAATGGCTTAAAAGATGTAACAGTGGTACGAATTGACAGATAATAGTTTTAAAGAGTATGTGGTAAACCAAAGAACTACGATGAAAGCTTTGGGTATGTTGGTGTAAGTGCCAACAGCTGTTTCTTTTTTTTTTTCTCTTATATGGAAATTTTCTCTGCTCGCGATATAAAATCCGCTTTTGTGGCGACACTTTATTGTCCTGTTAAAGTACATTAAGAACTACCTTAGATGATTAAATGACCCGTTTTGAGGCATACTTTGCGTGAATGAAATTTTGCTTTTCCGACCGAAGCGTGTAATGTTTATCTGACACACAATTACGTTAGTATTGTGATTTTTGCCGTTAGAACATGTGTACCTAAATGTACGAAAATGTTTCTCTTTTCCGGAAAAAGTTTTTGCATTTTTTCCCCACACGTTCATTAAATGTCATATCATACCTTTAAACTGATTGCCATTGATTTACAAGTAACTATAATCACGAAACAAGTTCCTGTATGATTTGGTTTAAGCGTTCTGTGATCTTTTGTTGATGATTAGAAATCATGTTTGCCCTGAAATTTGCATGCGATTTCACGCCAGCTTTCCTGTGCAGAAAGGAAAAAGGCCTGGTCAAACAAACTCATCGAATTGCGTCTTTCACAAATTAACTTGCAGAGCAAAATTGACGTTTGTGGCTGAGGAAGACATGGATTTATAGATGATCAGATAAGATGAATTTTCACTGAGTCTACGCAATTCAGCTGTGGTATATTTACTACATCAGTTGCTTTATTACTTGTCGAGTTGAATGCGATGAACAATTGAAATCGTCCATCACTTTGAGCCAAAGCTTACTTAAAGAGGTATGAAAAGAGTCTTTCGCTCACACAGAATGTTACAACTTCCTTTCCACTCACAAAGCGAATCAAAACAATGAACAAAAAATTCATTGTGAAAGCTGCAGGGAAGTCCATTTGTTTATTGCTTACATACGTGGGAAGTTACTTTTTTAACTAAAAAAAGTTATAATTCAAAACATCTCTCCTGTGAGGCTCTTCAAATGGCAACATCACAATGTTTTTCAGCTGTTCATGAATCCTACTGTTTCATGCAAATCTCGATAAGCAGTGGAAGAGCTTTTCCTTGTATACAACCGCGATTTATGAAGCAACTTAAGCGTTGTAATAATTATCATTCAAACGCCATATGTCGTAGAAAATTAGGATAGGAATATGAGACCCGTAAACTTGCAACGAAACAAAGTTCTTTCTAATAGATCTTTTTTTTCAGCCAAATATTTCATCCTTAACTGATTAACCGTGAGGTCAACATCACGGATGGATATTGGCCTAGTAAGGTTTTGTGGTGAATATTGGACCGGGTAAAATATGCCATAGATGATCGTTAATCTGGGTTGTGCGTTCTTAATTTATCCATTTGTCGGTAACATCTATAGATAAGTATCCAATTAACTGAGGCATAAGAATAGTTTCCGATTCTATCAGGAGCTTAATCCTTGGTATATATCGCAAATTGAATCACAAAATTATTTAATTTGATGAAAGCAACCATATATTTCATAGAAATAAAAACTGGGATGTCGTAATCAAGAATTGCACTTGTCCAATTGAGCTTAACGATGCTGCCTCACGATATTGCCCCTAGCCACTGGTTCAGGTCCTAAACGCTCAGATGTGGGATTTGAAGAAGTCGTTTCAAGCAAAGATACTAACAGCCAGGACCCAAGTTATCCAATTCTGCTTGCGTGGCTGGCAATTACGCTTTAAAGTAATCCACCAACTGCGCAAGTTAATCCAATACGGCGACCGCAGTTATATCACAGGAGGTAACGCTGTCTTCAAAGACAAAGGGTTGAGAACTTCAAGCCACTGCAAGGGGTAGTAAAGGAGAGGAATGGGGGAGCCTGATCCCGTTTCATGTACAAATTTTTTAGACAATTCACGCGTCATGTATGTAAAAGGAAAACGTTGCGAAATATTTCTCCTTCTTAAGGAACGAAAGAAAAATTCACGGGTCACGTATAGGGGATAACTTATTACGCCCCACGCTGGTTCATAGATTAACCTTTCTGTGAAGTTCACGTGTCACGTATAAACTATTTGTCACGCTCAATGCAAGTCTTTAAATCACGACAATTATGGCGGTCTTAAATTGTTATATAAATACACAATACCCGGACTATAACGAACTTGGCAAGATTACCAAATACAGTGCGCTAATCTAGTTGTTGGTTTGAATTTCCTTTGCAGCTTCAAGGTATAGAAGCAATATTTATTCTCACAATTTTAGAGATTGTCCTATTTGGAGCTCTGATACTTCACCCTTTAAGACACGAGCCTAGATCTCTGCAACTAAAAGATGACTTCATAGTATGCAATTCCATGACGGTGTTCTTAGATAAAACTTCAACTTCCGAGTTACAAGAACTTCCTTGTTTAAACCTATCCCAGATGCGTAGAGAGCGCAGTAAAAGCGAAATAATTTTATATAATTAGTATCATTGTTATTTCGGAGCAAAGTGAGGAAGTCTTTGAAAGCTTTATAAACAGGAAGACCTATGTACTTATCTTTCATGATCACTTTTTGTAAATTTTATTTTCCCAGTAATGGTTAAGCATTTAATCAAGTAATGCCTGGATCTGTTGTGATTAACTGAGTGATGATCTCAGATAACCGATTGGATTTTTTTTCTTCTAAATGAAAAAGGAACCCATTCCCAGACAGGTTTTTGAACTTTAGTTTTTTTTAGCAGTCAATTTGGGTTGAAGGCAACAGTAACCAAGTTTATATAAACAGCAAAATAATATAATGTCTCCAACCTCTTTTACTGACGCGCGCGCATAAACATTTGGCCACAGACAGGGAATCACCCAGTCAGCTGCTTCGTCAGCTTATGAATTTGATCAGGTTCTACTTCAGGAGTACAGCAAAAATTAAAAAGGCTTGAACAGAAAATTCTGTATCATACCTAGTCGAATTCGAAGCTGTGCTAAGCTCTCAAGCAAGCAATCAAGAGGACCCGGTGATTTCTTTTGTCTGGGAAAAGACAGAGTCGTCTCGTTTTCCTGCCGTTTTTAGCCACACTCTCCTTATTTCTAGCCTCCATCGCGGCTGTTCTTTGGGACGTTTTGCAACGCTCGCCCGAACAGACCTCTGGGACATGCCAAGAGCTATGAAGGAGGCTCGCTTCAATCGCAAGCGTCATGTCTCCCGCGCCCACTTTTTCGCCCCTTTCAACTCACTGAGAGCCTAGTACAGGCCAGTCGAATTCTCGCCTCATAAATCTAATGTTAGTTAATCAAACTGACAAACAAACGGAACCTCGTGCTTCCTCGTCTCGCTTTCTTAGAGTAACTCTTAAGTTGTACCTTAGGACGAACTTGAGATGGCTGAGCAGTAACACCGAGGAATTCGCATCAAGAATGGTGCTCGCCTTATGAATGAAAATGCAGAACTCTGATCGAAGAAAAATGCAGAATGAATTCGCAGCATAGAAAAGTCGGCTTAAGAACAGGAAATAACGGATGAATCTTGCGAGAAAATTGTTTCGTTTAGTCAACTAACTATCCACATTCCTCTCTTCAACCGCAGTTCATATATATATATATATATATATGATTTTCATATATTTGCAGCCACTTATTAACTATGGAGGTTTGCAAAAAAAGCGGGAATAAGCGCCCGTCGAAAGTACTTCACATAAAGGGTGCAGAAATTCGTAACACGTGGACCCCTCCCCACCCTCCTCCCTTCCTCTCTTTGAAAATGCACCATTGACTGTTACTGTTATAAAGCTACAATTTTAATTATCAGCTCCCAAGAAAAAGGACTTCAGAGACCGAAGATGTTTGAGCTTTAGCCATGACTTACAACTGAATAAATGGCGAAAAAGGAAAGGCAATGAAGGATTTTGCCTCTTAGCTAAACTATTTTTTTTTCAATTTACCTCTAAAAATATGCTACTAGTTGAGTTTACCTTTCAACTATTTGGTTAAGCTAGAAAGGATCCTCTCTTGGTTTAAGTTAGTTTAAATAGTACGTTCTTATGTTTACATCTAAGACTGAATACATCTTTGATTCCTCTTCTTGACGAGTTCTGCAAATTCACAGTTTTTCTCGAATCTCTTTGTTTGGCACACTGTAAGAGAAAAAAGGAAACGCATGTCTTAGGAATGTGATGCTCATGATAATGATTTCATGTCGTGTCCCCTGAATTTTATATTATATGCAACACAAAACTGGTGCTAAAAAGTAACTCAATTAAATAACAGACAAGCTTTCTGCGGGCCTGTTTCTTGTTAGTTACAGTTTGTATGTTTGATTTATATGCGTCAATCAATTTCAACCTAAAGGTATTGGCTGTCGGTGCTCAAGAGAAATAGACTTATTTAGAAATTGAGATATTTGCGCTACAAAATTATCGCCTGAAGCTGCAAACGGGAAAGTTGGCAAATGTATCTAAACTATATAATGTACAATTCAATTTAGGCATGTTAAAGACATTATAAACTGTTCATAATCTCTTGCCATGTTTCATGTTGTTACCATTTAATTATCTTGTGTTATTGTCTTTTCGTAAGTTGGTTCTTGTTTGTTATTATTGTTGCTGGTGCAGTCGGACAGAGAACTGGTCTATCTACCTGTCTATCCACTGGTCTATCTACTATTGGTGTTAAGTCAAAACAACAAAGTGCTAAGCTTACCTGTTTCTATTTTTTTGCATGGCAAGTTTGCTCTCAATTCTGAGCCACTTTCTCACTTTGCGCATTGTCTCTCCGCTCCAGGCTTCTATCAAGCTAGTGGACGACAGGAGTAGTTTTTTTCTGAGAGCATCCTCGTGTCCACTGATCAGGAATGCCCGCCCTGCCCTAAGAGAGGGGCACGTCGAATTGGTATAACTCCAGATCTCCACACGCCCTTTGTGGATTGGAACATAACCTTGTTTATAAACTTTGGCGGCTTTCCCATGGAATATCGTCTCTTGGTTTTCACGTTTTTCAATCAAAATTACCTTGAATTTCATGGCTGAAAGATTACAACAGAGATCATTGATGTGGAAGCCTGTGAACCTTTAATTTATATAAGATAATTTTAAGATCAGAGTTTTCAAGAGAGTCCAACAGCTTTAAAAATCTACTTCACGGCTATTCCCTACAATTGCATTGGGATCGCTATTGCCGATGAAGTTAACCGTGATAAGTACACATATGTTACAATGGCGGCTTTTTCTTCATCATTGAAATCCGCTGGAAGGGTGAATTGTCATTTTCAGTCGAAAAAGCTGAATTAGATCTTGTTTTTCTATATTTAACAGGGAAAACTAATCGTGGTATTTAGCTGTTTTAGTCACCTAACCTGAAGGTTTCGCTTTGCTTGATAAAAAAAAACACTTTTTTTCAGTTTCAAGCATATGTACATTCTTACCATAATCATACTGGCCGCTGGCATAAAACCTGTAATCAGCTGGAGGTCTACTCTCGCACGGAGCGACATTAACGATCTCTGAAATTGGATAAAAAAAAACGGATGTCTTAAAAATTGATGTAAAAACAAAAAAAGTTGTTAGTTAGTATGTACACTGTTGCTTTGATCCACCCACAACAAACGACATCCGCCCTGCCGATCATCCGTTCATAGTTTTTGCGGTTTTCTCCGTGTGTGAAGCTTGATTTTTATTTTTAAGCGAGCTTCAAGGGTATCATGCACGGATGACAGTGTTCCTTTGACTTTTTCCAACGTCACATAAGCTTTGACTCGTGTATGTCCTGTCACGGATATCGTCTTTCCGAGGGTCTGTGATGTGACATATCGGCAATTGCACGAATCATATCTTAAAAGAAACAGCCTAATAATCGAATAAATGCATTCAGGTTTTGGGATAATGATTTAAACGACGTCTGAAGTAACGTGCCGTTTTAGAAAATCCACGGACTTCGGGTTTTCAGTTTTATGGGTGATAAGTTCAAGGGTAATTTTTTTCCTTCTTGTTTTCAGGTGTTAGGTATAAGCCTTCTTGACACTGTCTACAAAATTGACGTTTATATAAAACGTTTGGCCAAATCGAAAATGCTTTAACTTTACCTTAACCCTAAAACACTGTTTTTTGGTCTGTTCGAGTTTGTGTTTTTTGTCATGCTTTGTTTGTTTTATTCACTTTGTTATAATTGACCCTATTTGATCCCCACATGATCATTGCGTGAAAAGAAGTAAGCGACAATGAGGTCATAATGGCCGCCGTCTCTATCAATGATATCTTAATAATCATCTGTGGTTATTGTATCTATCTTACACAACACTATCAATCACTGACAAATGAAAAATTTTATCGGGAGAATGCTGAAAAATTGACACTTTCAGAAGAGTTCCGACAACATATGAACGTAAATCCAAAACAAACATTCCGGATGAGCCGGATAAGAAATTCGCAAGGTGGGCTGTACATTCAGGAAATTATTTCAGCGTATTCATTCATTAAGTACCACCAATCAATTTGCCAACATCCGTGGGATAAATCTTGTAATGAAGTGGGTGTCTCAGGCCTCTTAATGAGCAGACGCACACATTGAAATCTCCTGTTTTAAATTTCAAAGATACTTGCTGAAGGATCTCATCTTATCGTATCTGATAGCGCTTATCTCAGTAATGGAAATTAAAACATTTGTCCCTGAGATTTTCAATGGAGTTTTGAGTCAGATTTTCGACTTGATCTTTTAAAGTTGTTCTCGCGAGAGAATGATCAAGAGAAACTTTGTTTTCTTTACGAATAATAAATGAAGAAGAGTTCAATTTTCCAAAAATTTAGAAACGATGAATCATTTCAATCCCAGTGTAAGATGTACAAGAGCTATTGCTTTTGTTCACTGATTCCAAATAAACACTCGAGCTTCAGGAAAAAGAATGGTAGCACACTTTGACTCTATGAAATAGTGGTATCGCTCACCGCTGTGTTGTTTACACCCACTCTCCACCCGTTAACCGACTTCACACAAAATGTCTTCACGATCATGAAAACCAACGAAAATAACTTTTAGTTCAAATTTTCCTGCTAAGTGCCATGAAAATTGTCTTATCATTGTTACCTTTGTGTTAATTTCCCTAAAAATTACGCCAAATAGGTCTTGAAAATGATGATAGTCGATTCTTCGGCAAAAATTCACTCTCGGCCACGTCGCTAGTACACACCAGTAACTTCGCATTTCTTCATTATTTCAGGAAGCTGTCTTGTTGAAAATATCTGTCTTACGATCAGCAGCCATCGCAAGCAGCCTCTGTAAGACAGCTTTTAAGATCTTAAAGTGCTTTATCACAACTCTTCGACCTGTTTTCTTGCGGAGAAATGGAGAGAGCATCATTTAAGTCTACCTAGCGGGTAACTTGCGCGCTAATGCTCTTCAACGTAATTTGTTATCTCTGATATCAAAGCCACAAATTGGCCCTTACTGAAAGGCTATAAACCGCGCTTGAAATACAAAACGAATCTCATAATCACTTACTTGTTGGTTTTGGCTCAGCAATGAAAGATTCCGGCTGAATACACACACTATCTTTGAACTGAGGTAGTTCTTCGCATTTCACAAAGCTCGGCCAGTACTGTATTACGGCTGAACAGTCCGCCTTGATTCGCTCGCACAAGGAACGGCAGGGCCTTATTACGTTCTCTTCTTCGATTCCTGGCAAGCATATCGGCAGATAGAAGGAGCAAAGGAAAAACTCGGCGTGTTTGGAGCAGTTCGCTTGCTTCACCAGAGGGCTAAATAGCTGAATGGCTCTGTTGGCTATAAATTCGCTTTGATGACCAAATATGTTTGGAAAACGCGTTAAGTTGTACGGGAGTACACGGCTGCATAATGGATTAGTAATTTTGCCGCACTTCGGCTGAAAACTGAACCGAAATCCGTCGGCTGCGAAGAGGCCCACTGCGAGTAGACCCAAAAGCCGTACAGAATACATGAAAAAATTTTTTTTCGTGGACGAGAGATGAAAATTCACGACTTAAAAAAACTATGCACTTCCCCAAATTGTTTGATTGCTTTTATATGCGCTCGCCTTCGTAAAGTATGTGAAGTACGCCTTAGTTCTAACATTAAGCCGGATAATCAACGGTGTGTTTTTCAACTAGCTAGACAGCCTTACTCTTAACCTTTGCACCACACGGAGATGAGGATTATGTAATGAAAAATGTCGGTTTCTGTGCGTTATCTGAGCTCGATCAAAAGATTGGTCCAAACTTTCCCAAACACTCAAAAGGAAGAAATCAGACAATGGTTTTCTTTATGTCGTGTTCACGATGGCGGGGAAGGATTAACACGCAGTCTGTACAACATACACGATATTATAACATTGTACGTGATGATCATTCAACAGGGATCTAAGATCTATTACGATCAGTATCGAAGTACCTGGTAGATCAGGCTTGTAAACAACTGTTTAGTCTTGACAGATGACTTGTAAAACATAATCGTGAACATGACTGAGATTCCTTCCACATTCGCTAACCAGCTGCTTCACGACATTTTTTTCAAAATTCTTGCCTCTAACCGAGTTCTTACCGAACTTTCGCCCAAAGGCAAAGTGTTCCCCTGATGGTATAAAGGTGACCGATTCTTAAAGCATTTGATCGCCTTATAACGGTCACTTTGCCTGAAAAGGGATTATCAGAAACAAAATGCCATGGACTTTAGTATAGTTTCCTGGCCGCGTTCTCGAAGATTATGTCTTCGTGCGAGTATCTCCCGGACCTAATCTGGGTGGAGAAAAATCAAAGCTATTTGACTGTGTATCTCAAAGATAGACAGAAAAACCAAGCCAAGCTTCGAAAAAACCCACCGAGAATCCGATAAAATTAAGAAGAAAGCTATCAAAAGATCAAAACATGTTGTTATAAGAAACACAGTACTCGGCAAGTACGTGCCAAAGTCCCCAAACAATATAACCTAATTTGGGCCTAACATGGAGGCATGAGTTATACATATTATATTCTTTTCGTTCCAGAAAGACGATGTTCACCGTGATTGTCCCCGAGATAAGTGACGCAGATGAAAAAGGAATTATTTTCCACATTCTCCGTTAAGTTTCGACCATGCATTGAATTTTTTTCCTAGATTCTTGGTATTTTAAACATGCGTTAATTGGCTTCTTGAAGTACGTCAAGTCATTGCTTGATTTATGAAGACGTGTCTCGTTCTGCAGAACTTGCGAGTAAAATTGGTTAATTATGTTTTGCGTTATTGAGGTCCGCGAATTTAAGGAGATTGCAAAGCACACCACTTCATAACGGAACTGGTTGTTGCAGAAGTTGTGAAGTATTTGTTCAGCAAAACCCACTCTATCCTCTACTGAAAATTCGAGCAATTTTTCAACCTCACGTAAAACTAGGAATTTGCTTTATTTCGGCACCCTGAACACAGACGGTTTTGTTTCATTTTAGCCCAGGGCGGGACATTAGTTACGTAAACAAAATCATAAGCTATAGCCTGCGGTAAATATTTGGTATTTCGAGATTGCCTCCATGGAGAATTTGGACCAACGTTTAAAAATAAAAAGCTCCCGTTTCAGAGTTTTTAGACGATGTGGAACCTATAACGTTTCAATTAACTTGAATTGAAAATTTCTAGATCGCCGCTCGTTAACGAACTCAATCAAACACTAATCAAAAAGTTACGGCGAAGCTGTTGTTGGTTAACTGAAAGGACGATATCTGGGCCAAGACGACGTGAGAGGTTAGACATAAGGAATTCACAACAGGCATAAAATTGTATCATCGCCGGGCAGGTTCTGTTTTAACGGGAATTTGACTGAAAGACGGCCGCTTTCTAGGCATAAAGATGGCAATGTCGAAAATGATAGTCTCATGTTTGACTTAACGGAATATTTTGCAATCTTATTGTCTAATTTTTCACTTTGAAATTGCAAGAGACATTTTAAAAAAACAAAAAAGGGCTAAGTTAACAATCGATTATCAGTAGCTATTGCCAATCCGCTCAATTTCTTCCATTCACGCGTAGGTCTTCCTAAATTAATCGTTTTATATCGGTTCACACATTTTTCCAGCTGTCCACAAGGATTGAAACTTTATTCGTTTCATTAGGGTAATTGGTTTAAAATCAACTGAAATTAAACAGATTATTGATTGAACGATTGTTCGGATAATCCTGAAGTGTTTCGCAGTGTTGGAGTCAACTGTACGCGTGCACTTGAACTCTGTAGTTTCACCATTTTCATCGCAAATTCGATTTCAATCGATCTCCTTTAAAACTCAAGGTGACTTCTTTATTCATTGTTTACATAAATTCCAACTGTGGCTCTTTAAAGGCTTCTCTTAACTCGCTAATATCGATCGTCATTTCGTGGATACGGGAAAGACAATAAAATTTTTAACATCATGCAGGCGTTTCGACGATGTCTTTCGCATCACGAGAAAGCAGAATCAGGTTAAAAAGGTTTTACGAAAACAGAATTAAGTTACCGGATTTCAAAACTTCTCCTCAATGCAAGATTGTCGATCTGGTAGCACAGATGACACCTTAATTTTTTTCTTCTAATACCAGTCTTTTATATTATCATTAATATTTCGATAAAGTTTGATTTTAAATCGTTGATTAAGACATGAGTTCTCCAGTTTATCCGCTGAGGTCAGTTCGCATCCAAAGCTGTTGCTCAAAATGACTTCTGATCAGTTTTTGTGATTTTGTGAAAACACAAGAGTGTTTCAGGTCTTTAACGTCACTACTGTTTTCCTAAGTCTCTGCTCAAACTTTTACTGTAATTTCTTCTGATATTATCGTAATTTCTGTCCCCAACACTCTGTTATTTTCTCTTACTCCTCTAAAAAGTTGAGTTAATAGCAAGATTCTCTCAATCGGACCAAGATAAACTTGTTGTCTTTTCCGCCCGACAACACTAGACGAAGAGATAGTTATTGTCATTCAATCTTCCAGTGCAACACAAGCCTGACGGTGATGCCGGCTGCAATAATTGCATCAGACAAGATTAAATCCCCTTTTACATCACGCAATGTGTGGCTATCTTTTGCCGGCAGTGTAGTGAGTGCTAAATTGCACGAGGACTCATAACTGGATTATATACCATCTTCTCTCCCGGACTTCTCCCTGTTGACAGATCCGGCCAAACACTCTAGTCAACTTGTTCTTTCAACTTTTGTGCTCTTCCAACTTTTAGCCATATTTCACTTGCCGCACGGTGGATCCAGCGGCAGTATAGACACATCTTCTAACAAAGGAAAAATCTATCATGAGGAAAATGAACTTATAAATTCCAAGTTCTTTCAATTGGATTAAATGATGGCTCGCGAAGATCAATAAGATATGTTTATAACTAATGCAAAAATAATTATCAAACTTTAAGTCTTTTATTTCTTTGTCATTTTCGATAACTACAAGAAAGAGGACTTAGAGCGGTTTTCAAGGATAATAATTCTAGTTATGAACAACTATTAGAGAAGGCAGATCTGCCAACACTACTAAATAGTCGCTTACAGGATCTGTGCATCCTTATGTATAAAGTAAAGCATAAACTGTGCCCTGCATATATAAGTAACATCTTTAAAGAACCAAATAGTAATTACAATCTGCGGCAAGCAGATTTCTCTATACCTAGGTATGAGACAGTCACCTATGGCAAGCACTCTATTAGATATTTAGGGCCTAGGCTATGGACAAAACTACCCAAGAGTATCAGGGACGTCACAACGCTAACGTCGTTTAAAAGCAAGATACGCCAACTCAATATAAGTGAACTTTTAGATGATGGCTGCGCAGGCTGTAGCCTTTGTTCATTTTGACTTCTGTGTATTTTTACTATAAATTTCTTAATGAGTTAACTATAGATATTTTACCTACTACTGTATATAGTTTTTTTTTTTTTTTTTTTTTTTTTTTTTTTTTTTTTTTTTTTTTTTTTTTTTTTTAGTTTGTATATTCTCCCCTAATTGGTGTCCCCAAATTAGTAAGGGATTTGTTCCCTGGCTAGACGGTTTTTGACACTTTAATAAAGTTTCTATTCTATTCTATTCTATAACTTCTCTTTGATCTCTTTAGCGAAGCTTTCCCATCGGCATTTTCTCCTTATGTCGCCCTTTATTCCTTTTTCTCTGTTTTCTTGCCTTTGTTTAAAGAAAAAACAACGTCAATAGGTTTAGAAGTTTATTCAAACTGTTTAGTTACAGTTACAATGGATCAGTACTATACGAGGGACTCGCTTTTTCAATGAACCATGCGCAAAACTCCAAAATTGAACAAATTGACATTAACTCTTATCGTAGTTTGTATCAGATTTAAACATAAAGCGCGGAAAAGTTCGAGCCATGTCTCTGATAGGTGTGTATTGGTGTGCACAGAAGTTAGTTATAGATTGAGATCATGTGATTCGGCATAATTGCCAAACACCAACCTCTCGAGGCTTGAACTAAGAGGCAACACTGATTGGTAACATGACGTTTCTTGACGAAAAGGTTTACAACTTCGTAGAAACTAGGGATGTGAACCGACACAATCGGTCATCACAAATGTATTTTAAAAAGACAAAAGTTGTAGATGTGGTGATTGTGGCGGTGCATTTCAATCATATACTCAGACTTCTAATCCTTTTAGTTGCCATGTATGAATAGTATTTCGTCCGTCGTCAACTTTAGCTGATGTGCATGCTCCAAAGTCTTATATTACTGGTTTTAATCATTTATATTAGCTATAGAATGGTCAAATGCCTGAGTCGGTAGCGTCATTCCAGTCTGAAAACACTCAGTAACCTTGGCCACGATTTACAGGTGTTGAAGAAGAAGACTTAGTTAGCGTGGCTAAAATGATCAGTCTGCAATTTTTTTTAAGTTAACCCAGATGCATATACCGACTAAGGATTCAAAAAATTAAAAAGACTCTTTCCTAAAAGCTGTCGAGTATCATGTTTTTTGAAGGCTTTGCAAGATAGATGCAATGAAATTTAGAGCACGTGGTATCGCAAGAACAAATATTCAACAAAAACACTCTCCTTGCCAAGTACAAAACGAAACAAACTCAAAGCACTAGTGCCGTCGTGATTTATTTGCAATATCACGACCAAATATTCGTGCCTCCAAGCCCACGCAAACCGAGAAATAGATACCCGTGGTTACTCAAATCAATTAGTTTATAGAGCATCCTTAACTAGGCTCGATCAAGGTAAGGCCTGCTAATATGACTACACGTGGTAACAATCAAATCCGCGATTTCACTTTAATAACGAAAAACGCAGTTTGTCGTCAGCCCGCAATTAAACAGTAAATTTGAGCTCTTCAAATTCGAGTAATGATTTGAAATTCTGCCAAACTACAGCTTATCAGGTGGTTAGCTTAGGTAATATATATGTTGTTTTTAGGGTGAAATTCCACCATCTCGTTCGGAATTTTCTTGTTATTTTTTTGGTAGAAAGGCAAATAAATGACGAAATGACCTATCAGAATCCTTGGATATTTAGCTTTTCAAACATATCGATACTCATATTTATCTCCCAACAAATTTGGCCGAAGCACAATAAGACTTTGCATTGTTCTCGAGTTTGCTTATATATATTATATAAAACACAATGAATACTTTCTCTACGTGGGTGATTAGCTACGTGCAATGAAATAATAAGATTATAATTTCAAACATCTACGCCTGCATCAGTTAAGATAACGTGCTTCTATTGTACAGGCCTGTCTAGACTATAGGGCCACTATTATTTTTTGCAATAATTGACCATAATTGCATTAAAATGGATTATGTACTTAATGACTGAATGGGAGGGCCGCATACGGATTAAGCGCTCCAAAGACCGTGCGTCATGACCGAGAGCCAAGTAATTTCCCATCCAACTCGACTGAAACTCAGTCAATGAGTATTCTTATTCATGAAAAATATGTTTTTAAGTTTCGAAATCATGTTTGAACCTAAATAGGTCGCGATTACGTGCGTAAAATGGGCGCGCACTGGAAAACAACAAATTTGAAAAGATTCCATACCCACCTACTCTTAAAACCAGTGTTCAAACCATCAGTTAACACCTTTAATTAGAATTAATCTTGCGATTCTTTTTGATGAATTGGAATAGTTCTTTTTCCAAGTTGAACCAACTTATCCATCGTCAGTTTAAAGCTGAAATAACCTTTAGCCTGGTATTTTTCTAGCTTCTTGTCAGCTATCATGATAGAGACTGACTTTGATTTTGTCGCAAACATGCACAACTTTATAAGCTGTCTAATGCCAATCGAATAAAGGGGTAAGTTTCTAAAGAAACTGTGGTGCTGCGTCGGTGGGAGAGTATAGCAGGTAATTTAGTGTTAACAACTGAGTTGAAAACGTAAATTAGCCACCGTAAAGGGTAAAAAAGCTGACGTTTCGAGCGTTAGCCCTTCTTCAGAGCGATTGGAGGAATTGTTAGCCCTTCTTCAGAGCGATTGGAGGAATCCAATCGCTCTGACGAAGGGCTAACGCTCGAAACGTCAGCTTTTTTACCCTTTACGGTGGCTAATTTACGTTTTCAACTCAGTTGTTAACACTAAATTAACTGCTAATGGCAATCGGTTGCGTCAATCCAGATTAAAAAAAAAAACCTTTCTTAGCTAAACAATAAGGACTTTGGCTGATGTTTTAGACTGAAAAGTTCGCGAGCCTGAACTGATTTATCGGTCAAAATACTGAGAATTTCTTATTTGGAAAAATAGTCTATGACTAAGAGTGATAAAATCTAAAGCACGTACATGGTTGGTACGCATCAATGAAATTCGTTGTTGATTGTCATGCGCCTCAACATCAGTGAGACAAGGCAAAACACTTTTATCTTCATTATAGTTATCTGATCAGGATTTAATTATCTATGTGCATGCAAAACTTCATAAGAAGGGGTTGTCAAATAACTGTGATAACCTATTCGACGTATCATTTCAGATCGAAGGATGACTGAGCATTACCACTGCGAAATAACAGTCTCGGTAAGCTAGCTCAAGATGAAGCTTAAGCTCGGTAACTTTACTAGCAAACAGTCACAAGTATAAAAACTGAATAATCATATTTAACTTTTTTTCTAAAAGGCCAGTGGATAATCCCCCATTAGTGCTGACGAGACCTTACTCGCACGTTAGTAGCAAAACGACCCGAGCTTGACAGAAAAACACCCGGTATGCTAACCTAACTTGCAACAATAACATCAATTCCAAACTCTTCATATCCATGAAACTAGTGTTAAGGTTATCATGGTGATACATCGTTTTACGTTAAATACCAACCTAGTTCAAGTAACTGTAAACTTTAGGTAAATTCCAGCCTGGAATTTTTCACATATTTACATATCAGTTAGATAAAAATGAAAAATGAATTGTTCATTCATGAAAAAGAGGCTCTGGAGCTGAAGAACGTAAAGAATTTCTGGAAAAGCAAATTAAAGAGCATCCGATAATCGAGTCGTGAATATACATTTTATTGTGTTTCTGCATTGTCAGTTGAAGAGCCATAGGAATTCAAATGTTATCATTTCCCTCCACCTTTTTTTCCTAAGGAGCGTCACGCCTCTAACGATGTACCAAACGAATGAATAAATTAAGTGGCGACCTTGCATAGAAAAAAACCTACAACACAACAACAACTACAACAAATATAAAAAACAACAAAAGAAAAAAAAAAAAGAACAACGACAGCAACAACATTTTTATGATGAGTACGCCCCTTGAGGGAATTTCAAGAAATAGTCACGGGAGATTAAGCTCTCTCAGAACAGAGATTGCGAACGTGAACAATTGCGTGGGTAATTATTGATAACTAAGCCAAAACGCCAGAAAATTCTTGAGATAAACTCACTCAGACTGGCACGATAGGAAACTAAAATGTGCGAAATGTGCTCTATGCCGGAAGTTCATATATTCTGCTACGTTCTGCCATCAAACATATGATTTCATTACATGATAATAGGGGTGATGTTTAATGACAGGGATAAAAGAGTTTACTCGAATGTAAGTTGACTTTTCTGATTTCTTTTTAGAGATGTTAAAAGTACTCGATTACTTGATTAATATGATTTGAATCGTAATTCGTTCCGGCAATGCTCAACGTTTTTTCGTTTTTGCTTTTGTTTTTTTGTGTTTCGGTCTCTCACTTTCCTTAAGTTTGGGTCATAATTTGTTTTCATGATGATCTTAACGTAAAATGTGTTGTAAATGTTTGGTTTTTTTTTTTATCGAATATCATTGTTATAAAATTCTGCAACTCATTAGATATCAATGCGTCCTCATTTAACTCTTGGCAATGTAGAATCGGTCCTCTCGTGGTTTCAGCTCATCTGGCCGGCTTGTCTTCGAGTTCTTAACAATTAAAACTGGGAGTGTTGGTTTTACAGCCGTCAATCGTCAAGGGAAATGATTATGGAATGACTGGAGACGAATATTTAGGGATTGAACCAGATCAGTGCGTTTTTAACAGCACGTACTTGATTAATGAACATTCTGCTATAGGATTTATTTCACACTGGATACACCACAATATTTATTATAATACGCAAAGGCGCTAACACAAATATACGCGGGCGTTAACATGGTGGACGGTAGTGAATACGACGAATAGCGCTCCGACAAGTGGATATAATCACAAATTCGTACTACTTGAGACGAAAACTTCTAAGTTTTAAAATGTCATTTAAAAGAGTTGGCGATGACCCCACTGCATTAAGAGTACAAAAGGTGCGTAGACTCGTGAAAACGTTTTTCTTTAGCAATCAAATCCCTCTCGACACTAATCTTTAATTTGGGCCTAGTGAACAGTTTGCCAGGCCGAAACATAGGCGATAATACGAAAATTTCCATTGATTGTGAATTGCATGTTCTTACTCTGTCTTAGAGACAGCGAGTATCCGAACTTTTGTTGGAAGAAATTCCCGAAGACGAAGCCACACTCACGAAAAATGGCAGGTAACAATTATCTTTTAACTTCCACTTGATAAGCTTAGCTCTTGAGAAAACATCTTCCTCAGTCCAACGGCTGAACTCAGAATTTACCATCTACGTATAGCTGTACATCTTCCTCGATCTTTCTCGACCCACGACGTCGAGCTTTCGAAATTCCTGATCCTAGCGAGCAGGGCATGCAGAACACTTGTATGCATTGATACAAGTATTATTAGTCTGTTGGAAATCTATTTTAGACTCGTTTTGCTCTTTCTAGGTTTGCCTGTCTCGTTTGTAAACACTGCCCAGTTTTTGACACTGTTGCTGTACTGAGAATTCACAGGCAAGGGAAGAAACATTTCTCATGTAAGTGTAAAAATCAAATCAAATCAAATTAAATAGCATGAGATGATAGAGAATTTCATGTTAACCAGAATTTGTTTGGTTTAGTTTTGTTTATAATTTTTGTTTGTTTTTTCCCTTCATTTGTTTGTTTGCTTTGTGTATAACTGTGGTGTATGTTCCACAATCACAAAAAGTCTGTTGATAAGGGGAGTTTATTTATAATCATCATGAATTTTACATGTTTTTCAGGCAAATGTCTTTTTTCTCTTTCCTAAAGCTGTCATTTTGTACTTTATCTACCAATCGCAGATTAGTAACCTGTAAATTTCTAAAGAAACTTAAGTGCTACATCAGTAGGCGAGTATAAATTAGAACGTTTGGTGTTATCAACTGAGTTGGTGATGTAAATTGGCCACTGCTAAAGAGCTTCAAAACTGATGTTTTGAGTGTTAGCCTATCTTCAGAGCAGATGGTTGAATTGTGGGTTGTGTGTGTGTGTTTATATGCAGAAAATGGAGCTACTTTCTTGTATTATCCTATTTTGTATTTCTAAAAGATTTATTCAACTCCACAACAATTACTTTTGCTTCACTTCCCTTTAACTTTCAGATGCCAAAATAAGACTTGAGAAACTGATGGAAGATGCTGAAATACGGCAAAAGAGAGAACACATGAAATACATGGAGAAGGTTATGGATGATGCCAATGAAGATGAATCACCATTGCTGAAGATTACACAACAAAAAAAGGAGTTGGCCCTTCAAGGCTCAAAAAGCTCAATAAAACATGAAGAAAGCAAAGAAAGGACATCAAAACAGCTGCCTTTCTTTCAGCGCAGAAAGCCCATTGACCCGGACATCTGTAATGACAAACCAGGTTATAAACATGTGCAGAGGACCGAATCAAGCCAAAACTTGGCAAATTCAGTGAAGGACTCGGAAAGCAATCATTTTGAGAAAACTGAACAATCCATGAAGCCATCAATTGATACACCTGGCCCAAAAAGTCAGAAAAAGACACCGTTAAGTCCTGGTGAGCTGGCTAGGAGGAAACACTTTTCTCGCCTCCGACAGGCTGGGTGGATCATGGGCTTGGATGGAAAGTGGCAGAAAGATGAAAATGCAGAGTTTGATTCTGATGAAGACGAGCCACCCCCACCCCCACCATCATCATATGATTTAACATCCACATAGTTGTAAAGAAATTGTCAAGCTTGGATATACCCCTCCCCCTGAAAAAATGGAAAATATTAAGATCCTGGTAGATACAATATGGTGCTAGAGAACATAAAGCTTGTGAGAACTCTAATTGAAAGGTCTGAGGCTGTTATTAAAAGACCAGATGCACCATTGTAATTTTACACATATACATTTTGTACACTTAAGTAGTATTACAACACAGTTTACTGGTTCATACAGGAGTCGATAAAGAGAAATGAAGCTCTGTACTTATATTTTGTGCATTACCTCCTTTCTCAGAGTTTGCCAGCTACCAGCATCAGTTTACCATGAAAGAAGAAAGAAAATTTAACATTTCATGCATTAGGCCTTTCTCAGAGTTTTCCATATCTGTCTACCAGGGTATTTGCTGCAGTGTTTTAATTGGGCACCATATGCAGGCCTTAATCAGTTAAGTACTGTGTTCTTCCAGTTGTAACATTCTTGCATGCTTTATTCCAAAATGACTTTTCACTTTTTTTTTCATGAAATTATTTAAATTTATAATGCATGCAGCTTTTCAGTTTTCATGAACTATGCCATTTTTTAAACATCAGTGACACCAAATTTCAATCAATTATTGTTTATAATAACAATTTTAGATTACAACGATAACAAACTAGTTTTATTTGCATTTTTCTGTTTTAAAAGACTGCAGACATATTGTATACGCAACGTGAAAGTAACTTTACAAAGAGATTATATACAAAATATTTATATAAAGTACAAGTGTTTCTTTTTGTACCAATATTAAAATTAATTGATATTAATCAATCACGGCTTCCAAGTGATGACTTGAACAGCTATCTGTGCAGCCTTTCTGACTGCTGGACTGTCATGATCCTGAATAAGTTTGGATACCTGTAAAGAAATAATAATTATTAAAGTCACTTCTTGAATAATACTGAGTCAAAATTGACTAGATTGATAACCTAAAGATTCAAAATGAAAGATGTAGACTCTGCTATCAAAGTTAAGGTTCATAACTATAACAGAAGTGTACATGTAGACAGTACTTGTTTATTTACAAATATGCTTGGAGACTCTTACCTCATTAACTGAAGCCAGCAGTGTTGTTCTGCCAATAGGGGCTTCTGCAAGAGTTGTGATAGCCTGTTTGTACATCAAAAAAGAAGCAGAGTAACAGTAAGAAAAAGAAATTAAAACAAAATCAAACCAGTTTTAAAAAGTTGCTACCACTGTTCTCAATTAGTTACTTATACTTCTAGAAGATCAACCAATTTGTGAACCAATTTTTTGCTGGTTACACACATTGACACCATTTGTGATACACTCATAAAGAAATTCATGGTTGCACAGGAAATTGGATAACATTTTTGGAGACATTGGAATGCTTATGTAGACATTGAACAAAGATGGGATACTGCACATTACAACTTTACATAGTAGTTTACATACTGATACCTTAAGAGCATTGAGTCTAACTTCACTTTCAGGGTCGTCTAGCAATTTCACAAGGTTAGGAATCGCATTCTCCTCTATTGCTGCGTACTTCCCTTTAGTTGTTATTGTAATTCTGAGAAGGATCAAGATGATTGTGAAGAAAACAACAGTTTCAGCCTGTAACTCAAAAAAAGACAACCATCTACAATACACTAATATTACCAGCATCATGTATTTTCCACCTGTAAATCTGTATTATCCTTTCTTTCACTTTTCACTAGTTTTAAGCCTGTGCTAATCAATGGATTAATGAATGCCATGCCAAACTAAATTTAAGAATCAAGGGGGTAAGTTTTTAAAGAAACCGCATGGTGCTGCATTGATGGGATCTTGTGTCACAGGTAATTTAGTGTTAACCCTTTAACTCCCAGATTGAATTTGTAATTCTCCTTACTGTCAACCATAAAATTCTTATAATGTTAGTTCAGAGAATTTAGTATGGGATCAACTAATCATCCCCAAATTGATATTTTTCTTTATTCTCATCACTTATCTGGTTGATATTGTATTGATATTGTAAGGAGAAATTCTGTCTTGGTCATGGGAGTTAAAGTGTTAACGGCTGAGTTGAAACATAAATTGACTACTATAGAGAGTTTAAAGGCTGATGTTAGCCCTTTGTAAGAGCAATTACGAATCAATTATTTACACATAGAGGATGTTGACTTCAGTTTTGAGTGATTTACCTACATGTAGCTCATATATTTTTACTCATGGGTTCCAACAAAAACAATAACTTTATGACCTACATCAGGGCCACATGACATTATAATTGTTCAGTAACTTAAATGCTGTTACTCCTAGAAACTCTATTTCAAATTACTTTAGGCATAATGAGCTGAATCATAAAATTTCTATGGAATGCACATCACTGTAAGCAGGATGGATGGAAAATTATTTCTTTTTGACAATAATTTCAAATGATTTTAAGTTAACAGAAATACATGTAAATTGCTTGGAGTCGAAGGTTGTAGACAGTCCAACCACTACTGCATCACATTAATTGTAGATAGGTGTAACAGTCGATTGTACCTGTCAGGAATAAGACCTTTTCCAATACATTCAGCTCCTCATAAATAAATAAAAAGTTTAACTTACGTCATGATAGCACCAGCAGCTTGTGCTCTTGCATCAGTGTTATCATCTTCAAGAAGCAACACCAGTTCAGGAATTGCTCCGACATCTACTGCTTTGTCCTTGCCATCAAGAGGAAAACTGTCAAATTTAAAGGAGACTTCTCATTTCAAAGACATTGCAGCTTATAACTGTGTTAAACTTAAGATTTGTTTTAACCTAGTAATACAGACTAAACAGTCAGTTACTGTGCTTTTAAACAGCAAGCAAGATTCAAGGACTTGTGAATGCAGCTGATTTGGAGTCGGTGCACTGAAATATCATGTAATACGCTGCCCAGAGTCAGTTCTAGACCTCTCAAGAAATGTGTTGATAAAAAAAGAAATACACTCATGTCAATTTACCTTAAATCCATGACATCCCTGGCAGCTTTTGCTCTGATTGCTGCTGTCTTGTGGGACAGTAATTTTGTGAAACTCTCCATTGCTTCACTATCTAGTGCAGACTGGGTTTCTATTGTCATACAGTAGTGTAGGGTGTCTAAAATAAGTTCCTGAAAGGGAAACATGCCAGATGTAACACGCATGCAGGTATGTGTAGACATCATTGAAACACTTAATATATATTGTTAACAGAACTGGACGGTACAAGGTCTGTAGTCTATACACAAGTCTAGGTAGCCACAGAGGAGGACTGAGTTCTCTTCTGAGCAGCAAGAAGCTGACTTTAGTGTAGAGGTCAGTGAGGTAACTACATGTTCATGTAAGCTACATGTGTACAGCCTGTAGCATAGCTGTCAAGGTGTTGCATACTTGTGAAAATGTCATGTACTTATCAAATAGTTGTGACAATGTAATTTGAGCAATTTCTTAAGTTAGACTGAAACAAATTACAACATCTAGTTCTATGCAACTGACTTCTGAATAGAAATGAAGCTAAAGTATTGTACATTCATGTCAGTCTGGAAGCAGAATGAGTAAGGACATTTTTTTAAATTCTTTATTAGTATTAATATGGCCTTATTGGCATGCTGAAATAATTTCATGTTTTTCCTAACCTTGATCTCATCCTCTTCTTTGAGAAGTCTTCCCACCAAAACGGGAACAAGCTTTGCATCAACAACTCCCTCAGTACCTGGACTCATGTGTACACACATCTCTATGGCCTTGTGAGCATTCCTTCTGGCCTGATAGATGTTGTCATCAAACTATAATTTGCAATAGATTCATTCATTCAAAGACTGGTAAAATAATGATACATCCTTACAAGCACGCACCTTTGTACAGTATACAGTCATGAAGTACACAAAATTAGACCTATAAATAATAACATGAAGTTAATGACTCAAGATCTGCACTGAACCAATGAGTCCATCTACTGGTTGTACTCATTTAAACATGTAAGTCTCAACTCAGAGTTTTTTTTTGTAATGAAGGTACATATAAAAAGAGAAAAAGGACAAATAAGTGAAAGCTATGCCTTTAGGGTTCATTTTAAATCTAAAAATATAGCATTTCAATTCATTTTTTTCACATAATAACTTACCAGTTCTGATAATGGTACAATCATTTTGTGATCCACAAATGCATCACGTCCAACCGCATGACCTTCCAATTTGATTAAGAATCACAATAGTTTAGAGTTACAGTAAGTCTGGTAATTTTCAATTTCCTGTTCCATCCCTTCACTTGGTAAACAGCTTGTTCTGGCACTGTATATAAATTACATGTACCCTAACAGGTCACAGTATGCATGTAAGTACGGATAACTTAACTACTGAAAGTAACTACTGAAAGAAGAAAACATGTACCACTGTGTGTTAAAATTCCATAGACTACTATGCAATGTTCCAATATGTCCCATATCATTGTAAACCTCAGCTCACGCAGATACTTCCAAGAATAAACATACATATTAAACTCTTTTGCACTGACAGTACCTGCAATGATGCTTAGCACTTCTGTTGCTTTATGCCTCACCGTACCATCAGAGTCTTTGAGCAGAGACTTTAAACTTGCACCAACACCTGCAGTAGATACATTAACACTGATGAGACATTATATAATGGGTCACACACAGAAGTTCTAGATAAATCTACTTAAACACAGAAACATTGCTCTGTTTCTTGAATAACACAAAGCTGAAAGTGGAAAGAACAGAAGTACATGTAGCAACTTCATTATGGAAACCAAGATACCATTCGAACAATATGAGCCACAAGACCACTGTAGTAGACAAGAATGTGGTATCAGAATACACAGCCGTGAAGAACACAGAGCTTTTTTCCATGAAGAGGCATACTTCAAACATCCAGTTCAAGTTATCAGTCCCACTTACCAACTCTCAACCCTTCAGATATATGTTCAGGATTGTGCATCACATCACAAAGTGACATCAATGCCCTTTGTCTCGTCAACAGGTCAGGACTGTTGAGTTCACGGTTCTAAAAGAATCAACATATTAATCAAGCCTTTCTCCTTTGGAGAAATGAATCAATAAATAAGCAAGTCCAATTAACCCTTATTATAGAGCTCAGTGATAGAGTACTTGATCGAAGAGGATTATTAATAAACAGTCAATCACAAAAACGTTTCCTTTAAAATTATTACATATACAAAACAGCTACTTAACGTGCAGGCCTACAGACGAAAGTTATTCTGAAGTGATGCGAGGTTCTAAGCCAACTAGGGGCACGTTCGATTCGAGTACGATCGACAGGTCTAAAAATTGTTATATGCACTGCATTAAATGATTAACGATGTGATGTATACTCACTAGTTTGGGTAGTGCACGGTCCCCATAAGCAAGACGTGCTTTCGTAGGATCTATGTTTGGGGGTAACTTCATGGATATGACAGTATGAGCCATATTTTATGAGTGATAATTCGCTCACGATATAGTTCAGTCTCCACAAAACAGAAATGGCGGTCTAACTGTTGCTAAGTAACCACTGTGAGACCCAGTCCTTTGTCTTGTCTTCTGTTTTTTTGTCGTTCCCGGTCCTTTCCTCGGACATAGCAAAAAAGGAGGGTTTTCGACTGCATGCAAATTGTGAAAAATTGGGTAGAAATGATCCTTATTCATGCTGGCACATTAACACAACCCCACACGCTACAAAGCTTAAATCCTTATCGTGTTTAAATAAAGGAAATTATCATTATTGTCATTATTACACTCCTACAATTACGTTCGAAAGGTTTAATTATTCCCTTCTTTGGAGGATTCACTCGTTTTATTTGCAAACAGCTAGTATTCGTTGCAATACAATTATAAGCGAGGCGGATTTACTTACAAACATTTTAATACTATCCTTAGCTTAATTTACAATCCAAAAACCTATAAAAATTGCTTACTAAATTGTTATCAATAACATCAATTAGCCTATTCGTACGGTTTGGGCAGCAGAGGCGTCTATTTAAGACAGGTTGGTGATACTTGATCGCAATCTTTTATCCGTCCAGTATTTTTTTTATTTAGAGTGGAAGGTGCGAGGAGGGGCGAGATCATCAGAAGTCATCATCAGACTCGATCTAAAGATTACTTCCGTTAAGGTTGTCCAAACGTCAGTTACTATTAGCGGCATCTCTTCCTCGGTGTTAGGTCAACTCTCACCCGGAAGATCAGACTTCACGAACATGATGGAATAGCACTTCTCGGTTAAATACATTTGCCGTTTAAACTTGCCATTTTTTACTTTCTAGCCTCCAGATCAAGCTAAAACCAAAATCTTTTAAGAAAATTTCACTCAGACGTTTATTTTACATTTTCGTCTAAGTTTCTATGAGCTATAATGACAGCGCTTGAATTTGAAATTCTTTTCGCTTTTGACTTCGGGCGGGTATCTACAAAATTTATGCATTCGTATTTCCACTAGACAGCAAAACTAGTTGAAACTATTTACGTACTTATTTTCATTTACTTATTAGTTATAAACTTCACAAAGTCCCTTAATGTCGGCATAAAGTAATGAACAGATAGCAGGAACACAGAGCTTTTAGCAGTTTCAATGTGGACGCAATAATGCGTCAAAACTACGTTTACATTTCTACAATTTACTTCTCAATGCACCAGCTCCTTAATGTTAGACTTTGCTTTTCGCCATATCAAGCTCTTGGTGGTCACCAGATTTTTGAGCGAGGCTTACTTGAGTCGAATGACTTTGGAGAGAGTTTGCTAAAGGATAAAGAAACAAGATATAATATTGATATGAAGGTAATCAAAACTTTTCCGTCCAAAAAGGACACAAGGGTACCTACGCTCATCCTATCTGTTATGTTTTTAATGCGTATCTTTATTACGGAGTCCTTGTTTTCTGTTGCGAGGCTTGAAACCAAGCATATCTTTTGGAATTGACTGGTAACGTGGAGAGAATTGCGAATATGCGTATAACTGACAGATTCCCCAACGCGCGAGAGCAAATGCATGAGCTAAATTCAACATGTCACCCATCCCTTAGAGCAGATTAAATCGCATTTGTTCAGAACGTCGTCTATACTTTAAAGAGATTACGATTTGAAGAACAGAAGCTCTCGGCCTCAAGATCAAATATGGCCGGCTTCATAAAATGATGAAAATAGCACTCGACACACTGCTTAGTAGGAGATGGAGCAGCGAGGAGGTGGAAGGAGGGCTTGTGGAGGGGTGGAGAGTGGGAGATTATACGCAGAGACTGCGAGATGTAAAGCAAGTCGCACTGAAAATAACAAAACCGCAGCAACTTAGGCTCTTTCCTATCAGCACAAAAATCCTACAAACAATTTTGAAGGAACACTTTTATATTTTCCGAAATGACTCTGTACGCCCATGATTTTTTACAGAATCTCAGACCCACCTGAATAAAAAGGAATAAGTCAAGAAAAGTTACACGCACCTCCTTTCCTCGGGCTCTTCCTCTTCTTATTTTCACGGCAGCAGAAATCGTAGATAGAGCCAAAAATAAACGCCAGTACGATTGCCCCCATAAGTGCACCAAAAGGAACAAGATACTGTGATAGGCTACTGAAATAAACCCACTTAAACTGAAACTTGAGGGTATCTGACTCCTGTAGAAACTTTTTGCAAGAATGTGATTTCATGGCTCCTCTGTTTTTATTTCGCCTAAGTTCAGTAATATTTATTCTCGCTGATCGTACTTTGGACTTCAGGCATCTAAAAAAACGCTCCTCAACCTCAATATCCATAGGTAACTCGTCGTCGTTGTCAGGATGTAAGAGAAAAGCGGCACCAATGTCGCAGAGCGGAAGAAACTTCAAAGCTTCCCAACCATCGTCTTCTTTGTCATTGCAGTGGAACACCAAAGTGGAATCAAGGCCCTTTAGACTCGAGGCAGAATTTATGGGGTCGTCAATTTCTACCATCAAAACAATGATATATTACAAATCTTTCCTTTTTTTTAGCGTTACAATAGTTTAAATTTTTCCTTTTCTTTTTCTTTTTTTTTTTGTCTTTTTAAAGGGCTTGGATCCAACCAAGACATCCTATAACTACGCCATTGACACTGACTGAGTAGTTCCAAAAGCTAACTTACCTTCGACGAGAGAAAATGACATCTCGTATTCAACATAATTCGAATCAAGGAGACCAGGAGGAACCCCAATCTACGTAAATAAGGAAGGAAATGTCATTGATAAAGACCTCCATACTGAATGAGTTGTACATAACGGCTATTATATATTGCAATTTCTGAGTGTTATTAAGTGTAGGTTGTGGTATCTGAACTGAAATACCTCAATAAAAAACGCTTTTCGCGACGTTTGAAATCGAATTTTTAAATATTTGTTTGAATATATGTATATTTTTATAAGAAAAAAATATTATCTCATACATATGTCATAATGTCGGAGCGTTCTATGAAAATTTAAGTATAGGTAATGACATGATTTCAAGTACATTTTGGTATTTATAAGCATGAGTAAGCACGAGACAATAAATTGTAGTCTTTGAAATATTTAAAAGTGCTTATTTACACCACTCGAAGTCATGTTATTACTTATTAAAAATTTACATGGAAAAAACATCATAGAGAAAGGCAAAACGAAGGAAACTTTGACAGCGCGCGTGCTAATTATGATTTGCACTCGTGTTACAACTTTGAACTCGTGTTACAGCTTTACACTCGTGTTACAACTTTACACTAGTGTTACAATTTTACACTCGTGTTACAACTTTACACTCGTGTTACAGCTTTACACTCGTGTTACAACTTTACACTCGTGTTACAATTTTACACTAGTGTTACAATTTTACACTTGTGTTACAACTTTACACTTGTGTTACAACTTTACACTCGTGTTACATGAAAAATGCACTCGTTTTCAGCAAAGGGCGTAATGTTATTCATGTACAAGAAAAAGACTATGCAAAGAAAACATCTGCTTGTCCCCGGAATTAATATCAATACTTACAAATTTCCTAAAATATAAAATAAATAGGTGAGTGATAAATTAACACGTAGCGAACGGGAAATTTGGGCGGCCAAAATAGTATTTACCCCAACCTAACAACATGTTCAAAGCTTTTTTTTAACTTCTTTTTTTAAGAATAAACACATTATTTGGTTTTTTAATCACTCTAGTATATCATCTTAGCCCCACTGAATAATGCAAGCATTAATCAATATACCGCAGGGACTTGAAGTCTTTAAAACTTTTTTTTTCCAGCAACAGCTGGACTCGTGAGATCCGTGGCATACAAATGTCGCCAAATAAATAACTGAAAATAACTGAAATAACAATCAATCCACGGATAGCCAGTTTACTCAAACAAGACGCCCGAGCAATAGCGCTAACATGCGATAAATTATTTCACGTCTTTCAGCTGCATAAAATCTTCTGTTCTCTCCTTGCCGCAAGGCTCTAAGAGCTAATGGATTACAAATATTCATCTCTCCACAAAAAATTCGAAATTACTTCAATTTCATTAGGCGGAATGTATGCGTTTTCTTTTGTTCTTGACAGCGGTTGTATAAACTTTATGCAATTCGTGAAAACGCCTTCTCTTTTACGCTTCGATATATTTCCGACATGCCATATTGTGCTGAGTAACAATTAAAATTACAAAGCCGACTGATAAAGGTATCACTTACACATCGGATCCTTTAATATAGGAACTGAATGCTGCTCGCAATTCGAAATGTCAAAAATAATTTGAAAATTCACTTACTTAAGATATCCCCTTTCCTAAGATATAGGATGAATAACAATCAAAATTACTAAGCCGACTGATAAAGGTATCACTTACACATCGGATCCTTTAATATAGGAACTGAATGCTGCTCACAATTCGAAATGTCAAAAATAATTTGAAAATTCACTCACTTAAGATATCCCCTTTCCTAAGATATAGGATGAATAAACGCGAAGTCTGGCAAAAGATTTCCTGGTTATGTTCTACTGTTTTACTAGGACACCCCAGTAACGGTTTTGAAACACTTTTGAGGCGTTGGCCGTGGTAATGAGAGAGCGTGAGAGGTGTAGTAGTAATAAATGTAGTAGCAGCAGCAGCAGCAGCATATAAGAAGTGGTCGTAATAGTAGTAGTAGTAGTAGTAGTAGTAGTCGTCATCGTCGTCGTCGTCGTCGTCGTCGTCGTCGTCGTCGTCGTCGTCGTCGTCGTCGTCGTCGTCGTCGTCGTCGTCGTCGTCGTCGTCGTCGTCGTCGTAGTAGTAGCAGCAGCAGCAGTAGTGGTGGTTGTAGTAGTAAAGTAGTAAAGTAGTAACAGTAACAGCAGCAAGGGTGTTAATATTAGTCGTGGGATATTTACCCCTCAATATTCTAACCTTTTTGCCAAACAAATGGTCTTCGCCCTTTAGCTCCTGAGTTGTTAGACGAGACGACACCTGAGCCGTGAACATGGACAATAAAACTATTCCTGCTATCATCCACACAACAGCAAAGAGACGAGAAAACCATGACTTGGGAGCTTTGTCACCATACCTGTATTGGAAATTGGTTTTAGAGCTTCCTCTTTCTAATTTACAAGAGTGAATGATACGTACAGGACAGGAAAGAATGCTGTAGGATCTCTAAATGAAAGGAATGTTTTGGCTTAACTATAATGAAAACAGATCGTCCAATTATTTGTACAACTTTTCAATTCCCTTTGACGAAGGGATATCGCTCGGAACGTCAGCTCTAGAATCTATTTACGGTGTCTGATTTCCATCATCAACTCAGGCGTTCAAACCAAGTTATCTTAAAATCACCGACAAGTTAATTTGTCTACACTTGATTTTAAAATGTAAAAATGTTTTATTTGTTATTTCATTTCTTCCCTTACAGAGTTTGGCTCAAGAATCCTCGCTAGAGTCTCTTTGAGATTTATTGCAGCAAAGTCTATGGCCAGACAGATTGCTGTACCTCGTACGTCTAAAACAAGGCACGCAGCGATTACTGAATTGTACATTTCCCCATCCCTTCATTGGCATTCTAGGCAAAGAATAATTTTAGAGCCGAATCAAATTAAAATCAGTCATAAGTATATAAAAATATGTAATTTCTAAATTTATTACCAGAAAAAAAAAACTCTTCCTCTATCGGACCAAGGATTAGCGGCCAACACGAGTGTTCGAACGATTTCGGAAAGTAACGTTCTCCATAACATTCTATCTCAGTCAGCAAACTTACCCCACTGTTGTCATGGTAACTATTGCCCACCACATTCCGTCTGCAATGCCCTTCCAGAATCGGCTGGAGAAAGTCTCCGGATTCGAGCGATGATCCTTGAACATGCAAAGTCAAGAGGGCAGTTAGTAAGTGATATTAATAAACTGAGTAGCATGCATTATAATTTTTTCGGCATCTTGTCTGCGCTAAAGCGTCTTCTTTCTCGAATTATGCTTTTGAATATGTCCTCATCGAAGACTGCTTGCCTCTGATGATATCTAACTAAAATAGAATCCTTCATCGCTGGTTTAGTAAAAAACTCGACATTAAGAGCTGCTCATAACATATTTTTGAAAACACTTGTCTTTGCAATTTATGCAAAATATTTATGTCTGCCCCATCACGCGTTTTCGAACTCTACCTGATAAATAAATATCCCTATTGCTCAAAGTGTGACTGATCACAATACTCACCAAAAGCCAGATGATCATTCCTGATAAAGCCGCACACGAAAAGCACAAAACCAACAGAGGCCACAGTTCCAAGATGGACATATAAGCAACAGAAACCAGGTCATGGTTTTTCTTCTGCCGCATGAGCACTGGGTGAAAAGTTTCAAGAGTCAAAAATTTACCATAATCAGATTCATCCTCGCCAGCAACTTTGTGGGCTCGAAAGACCACGAATTTAGTTTCTAGTTCGGCTGCAATAGCACTGCTACTGTAATTTAGCTTCGCACACCGATTAGTTGCATTGATCAGAACTTCTTTCCAAGTTCTCAGCCGATCAATGAGCTTTTTCTGAAAGAAGGGTAAATTTCTTTTGAATGCGGATTCATCTCGCTCAAATGACCACAACTCCTCCTCCTCGACTGTAAAGTTTTGAGCACCTTCTTTCTTCAAGACAGAGTTATTACTAGGAGCATTCTCGCTGGAAACAGATGTTGTAGCTTCTGTCGGCCTTGAGGTGGAAAAATTCAATCCAATCGATTCGGTTGCATTTTCAGCGTTAGTTGATCCACTTTTAGGATAAGAACTGTTCTGTGAACACCTGGTGGAAGTGAGGAGAGAAAAAAATAAAAATAAAAAGTACCTCCAAACCATTATTCTTTTGCATAAATTTTACCCGGCTTGTCAGAAAGGTCAGTCTTGCAGAATTCGCTAGAATTAGCAGACTGTCGGTCTCGCCGCGTCAGAGGAAATTTATTAGTTAATTCTAGCAGTATTTGTAATTCATATATTTCTCTAAATAATTGATTACCGGTGAAAATTAGAATAGTACAAACAGAATGCATGGTTATATATCGTAAAAAAAAATCCAAAAGAGTTTGTGATTCTTTCCTTAAAGCTGCAATCTTTCTGTTTTATTTGCAATCAATGGTGACCATTCAACGAGTATATTTTACAATCGCTTTGCTTTTCGTGAGGTGACAACATACCACAAGAAAATTTCAATATAGGTAATTTTAATTAGAGCCGAAAAGTTTTTTCCCCTTTTTTTCCCTAAGTTCTACACGAAGAGGACAAGAAATATTTGAATTCGATGTTCTTATGTAACATTCTACCGTAGTTAACATGGTATAATCTTAAAGTCTTCGATGGAGCATTCCAAGTGAAACATGAGTGCGTGCATTATAAGACGTTCGTTCGCTTTTCGCGAGAAGCAGAAAAAAGCACATTTTGGAGGGAAAAGTTAAAAAAAACAAGCTGCATACATAGGATTTCATATCAGACACGTCAGCTCATACCAATTAATGCTGAAAATTTTAGATCGCTTGAAACCCGCTCGTTTCATTACGGTTGAATCCATACTTCGCGTGACAAAACGCGTCGGTGGCATGTGCCAGAAGAAAATAACAATAACAATAATGAAACTCATTGGGAGAACTTAAAAAGAAACCCCTGTGGCTCATAGTTTTACAATTTAAATTGTATCCTTGGAACCCTAAATTGCTATAATTTATTTCATAAAAGACATAAAAAGCTTATGGAGAGAGATGCGTCAACCTGAGTAGTAATTCTTATCATTTAATGTCCGTATGGAGACTTCTGGAGTAGAACTTATTTAATTTAAAAAATTAATAAACTAATTTTTATTTCCTCCAATTTCGAATTTAGAAGAAGCAAGCTGCAATTCAGTCAGTACTTTTCCAGAACTAAACGCGATAACATCTTCGAGGGCAAAGATGTATTCGGTGGTTCTCGCTTATTGTTATAATTCAACCCAAAGTTTCTCATGCAAAATTTCTTAAAAATTCGCGAAAAAGAATTTCATAAAAACCGTAATGAAAGCTTTTCGTGCATCAATGGATCAGAAAAAAATTGAAACATTAACAAGACGAACAATTAACGAAACCCATACTTAGCGAACCCATTAGCTTAGATAACCAAAGAAGCATCGACGTTTAAAATAATTTGCGGACTTAAAAAGTATGCAACTTGTGAGGAGGCTACCAACTGTGAAATATTATTCTTAGGTTTCAATTGATTGATCGTTTACAGAGTTACAGACGGATCTCAGAGCATTACCTCTAGGGTTCTTTGTGAGCAGGTCACAGTTGGTACAGTATTATGTTGTTGTAGTATTATGCAGTAACAAAATACATTGTAGTATTATGCAGGTCACACCGGTCAATACTATGTCTTTGTTTGAAGACAAAGGTTTTACGTATGTGAGCATAAGTTCATTTTCCAGACAAAAGAAACCTACTTCCAGGGGCCTGTAGACGTAACTTTCCAAAATCGACCGTAGTTATAATAATAATAATAATAAAATCTTTATTACCGTGTCAATGTATTTAGCTCATAGAGCTAATTGGGGACACCTACTATTACAAAACTAGTAAAAAAAACTATGTACAGTATCATAATAAGTAACAATATAGCCGATAAACTATGCATTAAAATTTAAAAATATTTAGAAATATTAACAATGTTCAGATAACATAAAAATACTTGTACAATGCAGATAATTAAAAAATCACGTGCTGCAAAGATTGCAGCAGTTGCCACTGTCTTCCACTAGGCTGGCCAGGTCAACTCTACGGATTTTAGTTTTAAAGATGCTAAGGCTTGGTAGTTCACGCATACCATTTTCTAATTTGGACCAGATATGTGGTCCTTGATACCTAAGTGTGTGTTTACCATAGCGTATAGTATTAAATCGTGATATTTCAAAGTCACTATTCCTAAGGTTATAACGAGTACCCTTTCGAGTAAATATCTCAGATATGTAGCTAGGTACTAGATCGTTCTTTACTTTATACATTAGTATTGCTATGTCCTTTAAGCGTCTATTATGAAGCGTAGGTAACTTAGCACGCTTAAGAAGTTCCTCATATGTCTCTGTTGTTGTTTTGAAGACCGCACGCAGGGCTCGCTCTTGGATGCGTTCGTTTTTTCGCCCATCTGAAGATTTACAAAAGTTCCAGACTAAATGACAGTATGTTAAATGTGACATTATAGCTGTTTTATACAGTATGAGCTTAGCTTGGCATGGTATTAGGTTGCGCAAGCGCATGAGGACTCCTACTTTCTGGCTGGCTTTAGTGCATATTTCGCTAATGTGTTGTGTAAAGTTAAGGTTCTTGTCTATATTTACTCCTAATAGCTTGATTTGTTCAGTTTTCATGATCTCGTCATTGGCGATGGTGAGAACGCTGCCCTTCTTATCTGCATCTATGTTTCTTGGGTTAATCGTAAGAGACTGAAACTTATCTGGATTTGCCAAGAGGAAGTTGTCCCTATACCATAACAGTGCTTGTTGACCCTGAGTCACTAGAGTAGATTCAACTTCTTCATAGGTTTTTCCTGTCACATATAATTGGTGGTCATCAACATAGAGCGTAAGGTTTGAGTCAGGGATATGAAATGCCATATCATTTTGGAACATGTTCCAGAGGAGAGGGCCAAATGACGATCCCTGAGGACAACCACGTTCCATAATTCTCCATTCACTCGTGTGGCTATTTATTTTTACTCTGTTTAGCCTGCTATCAAAAAATGATCTAATCAGTTCAAGTGAACTGCTATTAAAACCGTAAGTATCCAGCTTTTTTAGAGTGAGTGAATAGCTTAACGAGTCAAATGCTTTACTCATGTCAGCAGATAATATTGTTACCAGCTCTTTTCTGTCCACTGCAGACCTCCAGTCTTCAATCAACATCAGCAGGGTTGTCTCACAGCTGTGTTGTTTTCTATAAGCTGTCATCCTGTGGGACAGAGCAGGGTCATAATCTCTGGTCACTTGTTTGCTGAGTAAGTGCTCAAAAATCTTGTCCACACATATAAGTGAAGTGATTGGACAATAGTTCAATTTGTCTTGTCTGTCTCCCTTTTTAAATATAGGGGTCCCTTCGCCTTTCTTCCATTCAGATGGCCACTCGCCTAAGTCAATACAGTTATTGTAAAGTCTAGTCAGGGATGGTGCAATTCCTTCAGCCACTCCCTTAAAGAGTTTTGGTGGTGCTGTCACATCCCACCCATACGACTTTCTTACATTGAGATTTTTAAGAGCACACTGCACTTCCTCTTTGTTAGATTCTTTGAAATCAAATTTATTCCCCTTGTAACCACTTTCAATAGCCTTGACACTACTGTGGTTCCTATGATCATTCTCGGTTAGGCTGGGTGGTGATATGGTTGCCTCCTATATTCGCTGCCACCGTATTAAAATGGCCTGCTAGGAGTTCAGCCACCACAGTTTGGTCTTTCTCGACCTCGCCATCTTCAGATTTCAAACATATAGCATTGGTGTCTTTTGTCTTTGTACTGATGAATGGCCTGAATGTGTTAAAAAACTCGCTGGGCTTAGATTTCAGCTCTTCCGATTTTCTATACCAGTAGGCCTTTATTGCCTTTCTACGTTCCCGTGTTACAATGTTCTTGTATTTTCGTTTGAGCTCAAAGTTTTCAAGAGAGCGATCCTTTGCAAATTGAACTGCAAATTTTCTCTTATCTCTAATGGCTTGCTTCCATTCTGGAGTCATATAGGATATATCTTTCTCCCTGACTCGTTTCTTTTTAGTGGGTGCGTGTTGATCCACAACGCTCTCAAACAGTCCCTTCCAATAATCATATTGATCGTCCACATTACAAAAAATCTCTCCTACATGCCAGGGGGCAGCCTCCAAGTCCCGGTTAAGCTGTTCGAAATCAGTACTTTTTGTCTGCCGGAAAGTGGTAGTGCGAGTCTTGTGTTTGTGGACTTCCTCCATCATTTCTCCAAACACCATATGGTGGTCACTTATTTCTGGATGATAAACCCCACATTTCTTGAACAGTTCAGGATTGTTGGTTAGAATAACGTCCAAAAGTGACTCCGAGTGAGCTGTAACTCGAGTGGGTTCAGTTATCATGCACTGTAGATTATTGACTTCTTCCAGGTCCTTCAGAAGTTTCCCCTCAGCACGATCCAATCTCAATCTGTCCAGATTAAGGTCACCTAAATGATGACAGACTGCTTTTAGAAACACGCCCACTGACAGATGTGGTTAAGCTCCTCCTCAACACTTTTAAGGTCCTGGAGGCTGGACTCGTTTCCCTTCTTTTTCTGTTTTGGGGGCCTGTAGATTGACAGAACTAACAAATCATTGCTTCCTATCTTCACCCCGACAGCAATTGTCTCGAGGGTCTTGTAGGTCTTTGGCAGGGCCCGCTTCTTAAACATGCATAAACAGCTTCGCCAGCATTGTTATTTGCATAATCATCTTCCTCCACACTGTTATTTATCGAAATAAATTCTTCTTGTAGACAATTTTTCAAGCATTCTTCTTGGCTAAATGGAAGCAAGCATAGAGAGCAGGTCCATTGTATTTTAGGGCAAACCTTGTACAACTTGAATTCAGCCTTTCTTAGGCCTATACATTTAACATGCGACCAAGTGTTACAATGAACACACAACAAGGCCTCTTGGTTTGACCGAACAGTTTTCTCGCACTCCTTACACGGGTTTTTCGGCATTCTCTTACTTGAAGGCCCTGGATTTGTTTGTACATCGCCACCTAAGACAATTCAGCTAAGCTGTAGGGTCCTCGTATCCTTCGCTGTATATGGAATTCTGAACGATAAATACATTTTGCCGCAACCCGCTCGAGTTCTCAAGCTCAAGCTCATCTTCAGTGGTATTAAAGCGGCCAGACGTTCTTGTCCTTCCTCGTT